GCACAGCACCCTGTCGGAGGAGCAGAAGAGAGCCTCTGAAACGTGTGATCTCTTCAATCAAGAAAAAGCAGCACTGAAATCGGAGCTTTATGAAAGAAAGCAAGAGAATGAAAATGTGATCTCTTCAATCAAGAAAAAACAGCACTGAAATTGGAGCTTTATGAAAGAAAGCAAGAGAATGAAAGGCTGCAGAAATCCCTAGAAGAGCTTCAGAGGGCAATAAACCAGTTAAGGTGAGAAGTAGATTTATTTTATTTATCAACAGGTCTGAAAGAACTTTATATTCATTGGATCCACAGATGGCTTAGCACTTGGAAACACAAGGAGGAAAACAAACCTCTCTCACTTCACGGATATGTTAATTTTTCTTTACTAACTGCTTAAATACATTTATTCTTCAATTCAAATTTGCTATTTATATTTTCTGTAGCCTTGACTGAGAAGGTTGTGTAAACAAGTGCATGTTGTATGGGCGTATTAAAGGTGAACAGCCTAGATCCCGGTATCCCTGATGTGCCCACTCCTGCAGCTTTTGTCTTAGTCTTTTGGTTAGTACTTCTGTTTGCTTGTCACCCTGTGTATGTTTTTTTTCTCTCTTCCCACCCTGCCTTATTCCTAGTGTATGCCAACGTTTTTCTTTCTTCTCACAGGATAACAGTTTTTCTCTGCCAGGATGGGTAACTTCTTCCTATCTTTTAATTATTATAGAATAGAGCAATTCTAGCTTTGCTTGCAGGGAGGTAAATGTTTTCAGATAGCTGTGACTTGAAAACTGACCCTCTTTAGAAAGAGCCAGAGGCTGTCTTAAAGAAACAAGGCAATAGACCAACTCACAAAAAGTAACCCAGAATGTCTTGCTTGCATTGCTGGTGAAGGATGTTCTGTTCTGAACACACACAGAAATGTCGTTTTGAACTTTGCAGTTTTGAATTGGAAAAAAAAGAAAAGGATTTGACAGCTGCACTTGAAGACTTGCAGGCTGAACATCTGAAGGAAACAGAGCTACAAGGTTTGTTTGAGGAACAACAGCTTCAGCATAAGAAAGCAGAAGATGAAAAGACAAAGGCCTTGCAGGTAATGCCCTGTATCTCAATGCTTCAGTTCACCTCCCTTGGTGCATGAAGTTAATGAACAGGCTATTGTTGCAGTCTTTTACATGTCCAATGTGTTTTGTTTAATAACTGTTCAAAAAAAAAAAAAACCACAACCCGAACTTCTACTGAATGTGCATAGCATTTATTTTGTTTTCACAGAGTTAAAGCTGTCAGTTACCCTCCTTAATTGCACATGCAGAAGTAAGGAAAAGTTGTATGCTTTTGGTTTTGTGGTTGGTTTTGGTTTGCTTTGGGTCTTTTTTTCATCATCTTAGTGTTTTTAGAGCCTTACGCTTTCACATTCTTAGGACCAGTTTTGTACTGTCCCTTGCTGTGTAGGGAGAGCCAGATTCTACAATTGTGTAACTGCACCCTTTATTCCAGAGCAAACATGCTATGAGGATGTGATGTGTATGATCAACTGAGGTTATAAAGAAAACCACCCAATGATACATATACTTGGCAGAGAGTAGCTGGAGCCTTTCCAATACAACATGTATTTTTGGAGGTTAACCAAAGTATTTTTTTTTTTGTTCCTTTTCTTCTAAATTGAACAGAAAACAAATGAGCAGCTTTCTCTCTGATGCTGTGATAGCAATGACTCAGTTCTTGTAAAAAGCCTGCAGTGACTGGAAAAGGAACACGATTTAACACAAACCTTTTTTTAAACTTGAAAACCAAAACCAAACTTTATCAGATAACTCCAAAACAATCCTAGTTAAATGCTGTAAGTGAAGAAACACAATTCTGACTCTTTCCTTGTAGTCTGGCCTCTCACGTCATCTCACTGGTAGATGTTTAGGTTTGTGGGTGATTTTTGTTTGTCGGAATTTTTGTTACTACTCGCATGGTAGGACATAGTGCTAACATCGTCTGTCTTGCAAAAAGACTGCTCATGCAGGGAAGGCAGGGACTGTGTTAGCCAAGGCAAAGAGAAAAGTCCATTGCCGCAGGTATAGTTGTGCAACAGATTAAACCACTCACAGTTCACATTGCTGCAGTCTTGCATTCCCAAATCCTCCCTTGAAGCAGTACTGTGGAAAGCTGATGCCACTTAGCATCTGACCTGGCTTCCTACAAGGTCAGAGAGGTGGTGCTGGCTGGGAGGGTAGGGCAGACCTCCCTGCGAGGGCGACAGCAATGCTAGCTCTGACTGTCTGCAAGCACCCTGGGGCTGCCCCTTCAGTCACTCCCTTTCCTTCTGAAGAAAGGCTGGCTCCCAAAATGGATCTAGGGGTAGATTGTTTTTATCAGTACTATGTCCTTTAAACAGATGGGCTGTAAAACCTAAAGGTTTTACATCTTCTCTTGCTGCTTAGATTTTGGGTTCTTTTTAAATCAACATGGGTTACTTCTGCTTCAGATGTCACTTTTTAAGGGGATTGAGTGATGTAAACAATAGTGATTTCCTAATGAGGGTCTTACTAATTGAGAGAAAAATAATGTACCGGAAGATACTTTATCATTACAATGTTTTGTTTTGTTTTGTTTTTTTTTACTTGGTGTCATGTTGCTAACAAGCATGCTTCTGGCACTTGTAATTACAAAATTAAACTTATAATTTTAAATTAAACTTTTAATACCTGAACTACTCTAGTTCAGTCTTGAATTTCTTCCTGGATAAAACAGGAAGTTGAAGATTGTGGAATACCAGCTTGCCCCACAAATGAGTGTTTGTGCTGGACTATTAATATGTGCTTTCCCCTTTGAATAGGAGCTGCAGGCTGCCCTGGAGTTGCAGTCAGTGCAGAATAGCCAGCTGGCCGTATCCTTAGAGCACGAGCAAACGGTAAATGATAATCTCCGCAAGGAACTTCAGATTGAGCACTCCCGCTGTGAAGCTCTGCTGTCCCAGGAACAGACCAAACTGTCAGAGCTACAGAGAAATTTGGATGCCGAGAAAAATCGTTCGTTGGAGCTCCTGAATTCCTTGAATCACGAACGTGTTTTGACAGAACAGTTGAGCATGAGAGTAAAAGAAGGTGCTTCTTGTCAGCACAGGGAGTCACTACTGGAACAAGCCTTTGTTCGAGAGCTCCAAGCCCAGCTGGAAGAAGAGAGGTCCCGAACTATGGAGCTAGCTGCTATTATTGAGAAAATGCACCAGAAGGCCATTTGTTCCAAAAGGCAGCTAGAGGCTGAAGTACAGATGTGCTGCGAAGAAACTCAGAAGGAGAGAGAGGTCAGTGACAAACTGCGAGCTACGCTGGAATCTCTTCAGGGTCAAAAGCAAGAGGTAATCCGTTCCTTAGAGGCCCGGAGGGAACGAGGGGCA